AAAAAGCAGGCAAAACTCCAGAAAATACAGTTATGGAAGACTAACATCCACATAATAGATGTCCCAGAAAAAGGAAAAAAGATGGTAAAGAGAACATAGTTGAACAAATAATGGAGATAATTTCTCCAGAATAAGATGGAAAAAGCTCAGAGTGACAGGATCAGTTCTCAGAGTATCAAATAGGAGAGCAAGGAAAAACCTACACCTAGCAACACTGTACTAAAATTTATAATATGAAATACAAAAGATTTTCAACAGAATGCTTAGTATAAAGCAGTACATAATGGTGCTTATAAAAAAATCAAGAAAAGCATGAAATAAAGACATCATCGGATATGTATGAGGCAGTTATTATATCAGAGCAAATTCTGCTAGGGAAAAAAATAACATGGCTAAAATAAATGTATATGGTAAAAAAGGAATAAGAACATTTTCATGTTAGTCAAGTGTCTTATATCTCAAGATAGTTGAAATTGATCCTGGCCAAATTAAGGTTTTATTTAGGGTACTGTTTTCAGGAATACCTAAAACTTCTCTTCTCAAGGTAGGTTTCAGTAAAGACAGATCTTGGCTAGTTTAGATGTGCACATTTGAAACACAACACATTCAATCATCCTTTCAGGACACAGAATTTAAAAAAAAGCTCAGAGTGCTCGGTTTATGTAGGCCATGAACTGTGGATGGAGATGAAGATGAACCAGTTATGGATTTAATGGTCAAACACTTCCCGTTTTCTAGTAATGGTAAAAAAGCCAGGGACTTCTCATTAACACATTCTCAATTAAAGAAATACTCTTTATCTTTTTCTACTCATTTTTTTGGTAATAGATATGGCAGAGGCTCATAGATCTTCAGTAATGGCTTACTTACCTGGTCAATATCAGCATTTCTTGGAAGAAAATAAACAATATTATTAGTGATCTTCTGGGAAAGTCTGAAGATTTCGAAGGTGGACAGCAGTTAAGGAAAAGTAACAAAGCTAGCAGTTAATTTCTCATCAGAGGTTAAGTTCTTTACTTATTATATCATAACCCAAATGTATTTTGACATGTAAAAATCAGGCACACATTTAAATCCTTTAATGGAACCTAAGAGAATTAAGCAGCAGATTTTGTAATTCAGTAGCACAGGTCAGAGATTAGAAGTTAAACCTATTATTCATTTATCCTAGTGGTAGGCAACCAAGAGTTAGAAATATATACTCTTTCTCTTTCTGCATTTCCTAGTTATTGTGTACATACAAAGAACAGGGAACCACAATACCACCTCTTTCCAATAAAAATAAAGACAAATAACTGTCCATTGTAGTCTACATTCCTAATTTTAATTAGCAATTTAGAACCATGTTTCCTGTTAAGAGTCAAACAGATGATTCTTCTGGGGAATNGTATTAGGTCAATTTATAAATATTTTCCCGCTTTATCAGGAAATAAAATAGGTAGTACTTGGCCTAATTGTTATGATGTCTATCTGAGTCGAGTCATAGAGGGGTGGAGTACGTCTACTAGACAAGTGCCAGAAATTACATGGTACAGGGCCTCCTAGTTAATTTTCAACACAATTCTTGGGGATGTTAATGTTGTCCTGCTCTCTGTACTGATATGAACAAATTAATATGACCTGAAAAGTACAAACGCTACCACTTTTCTGAAGCTAGACATTTTAGTTATGAAATCAAACAAGGATAAGGAGGTACTGTATCAAACCAACCAGGAGCTACTCCTCTCACCACTGTGTAGCTTCCTAGGGGAGACTAAACCATTCTCTGCCAGAGACCTCTATCCATACTGTATGCACTTACTCCTTAAAAGAGAAGCTTTTCATGGTTGGAAAGCATAATAGACCCACAACTAGTACTAGTTGCAATTTTACAGTTGTCAAAGGAAAGAAATGAAGAAAAACAGCAAGATATAGGCATCAAGTAGATAAAATACATTTACCCAGGGATCTTAGAATTGAATCTGATCTGTTCCCAAGTAACTACAGTGATTTCAGAGCGTGAGGTATAACTTCTCTCCAAAGTGCCTTTCACAAAAAGATTTTTTAAATTATTTAGTTCTTGAGTTTGATAGTGATGTTTGAGTAACAAGGGATACATGTCCTGGAATACCCCCAAACAAAAAAAGGGAATAAAACATCGAGGTAACAGGGGACCTAGAAAAATATTTTACTAGACTCATTAGACTCATCTCCTATGTGAACAGATTGGCAGACAAGTTGTATTTATAGTGTCCATACTCAGTGTCACTACTGTAAATATAGATATTATCCAGAGTGCACATCTCCCTGGATGGGAAATTAATGTTCTTTATAGACATTTCTATGGGAAAAATGCAACCTGAATTTTAAACAGCAGATTCATAAACTTTGAGAACCCAACCCATTTGTTAAGTTCAGGTTGTTGTGCAATTCTAAATATTCTTTAACAAAAAGTGGACTTCTCCGTAACTCTGTTGTCTCTCAATCTTGCAGTACTCTCTTCTTTCATTTAAAAAATCTTACATATAGATTTCCTTCACTTTTAAAAAGAAAAGTTGATTTCTCACTGTAATTTGATCTAAATCCAATACCAAACAATATACTTGAAACCTCAGGTTTCCTTTTTGACTTTTGTTATTCTCTAGTGTCATTACTCCCTCTAGAGGTAGAACTACCAACCGTAATTCTGGCAGGTGTTTGAAGTAAATCAAAAACAGACGTTAAACAAAGAGAGCTAACTTTCTCCTTGGGCTTGTGTTACTTTAACTAGAAAAAATTTACTCACTGTAACTTTTACAATAAATAGTAAATTTCTTATTGTGATTCAAGTATACAAATAAGCCCATCTAATACTTAATGTAAGGATCATATAGTCTCTTATGAGACTAGTTATACAGCTATTTACATATGGGAAAAATAGGAATTATGGAATAAATAGGTTCAGTCTTACATGAGTCTAGAATATATTGGGTTGTTGGAAAAGTCACGACACATTTTTGCAACAAAAACCATAGAAAAAATACGTCATGACTTTTCTGACAACCCAACAGATCTGAGCCACAGATATAAGTAGCAGATATTAGGTTTACTATCAAATTTGTTATTAAAATGCATGAAGGGGACTGTTTTTTCTTGTTTAACTGGTACAGCATGTCATATTTGGGAGGCCTAATGTTTAGACACAATGGTTCATAAACAGATGATAGACAGCAAGATATAATTTAATTTCCTTCTAACTCAGCGAGTAAGAACTCTGGCTTGTTAGTTTTCATTTACTCTTCTTTTAACCCAGAGAATCTTAACTCTGGCTGCACATTACAATCACTTAGGGAGTTTTAAAAAGATTTATGCTTGGGCTTCATTCATCCCAGAAAATAAGTTAAAATCTTTCCCAGTGGACTAGAGTATCAGTAGTTTAAAAAAGTTACTTAGCAAAAAATATAAAACTCTTAGAAGAAAACATAAGGGCAAATGACATTGAATTTGGCAATTGTTTCTTGGACATGACATTAAAAACATAGGTAATACAAAGAAAAAATAGGTAAGTTGAACTTCACCAAAATTAAAACAACTTTTGTGCAGCAAAGAACACTATCAAGAGAATAAAAAGGCAACCCATGGAATGGGAGAAAATACTGGCAAAGCATGTATCTAAAATGGGATTAATTTCTAGAATACATGCACATGAAAAGGTGGTCAACATCATTAGTTTATCAGGGAAATGCAAGTCAAAGGTACAATGAGATACTATTTCACATCCATTAGGATGACTATTATCAAACCACCACCACCACCACCAGAAAATAAGTGCTAGCAAGAATGTAAAGGGCCGGCCGAGTGGCTCAGTTGGTGAAGAGCTCGCTCAAGAGTTTGAACTCTGAGCAACAGCGGTTCGATGCCCGGCCCAAGCTGAGCAGCCGCTGAGCTACCAACAGGTGGCAGGATGGCTCAGCTAAAAACAAAACAAAACAAAACAAACAAACAAAAAAGAATGTAGAGAAATTGCAACCCTTGTGAATTGCTGGTATAAATGTAAAATGGTTCAGCTGCTGTGAACAGTATGGTGATTCCTTAAAAAACTAAACATAGAATTACCATATGACCCAGAAACTACTTCTGAGTACACATACCCTAAAGAGCTGAATGCAGGGATTAAAGTAGATTATTTGTTCACCCATGTTCACAGCAGCATTAACAGCCAAAAGGTGGAAACCCAAAATATCCACTGATGAATGAATGGATATACAGAATGTGATATATTCATATAATGAATATTATTCAGGCTTAAAAAGGAAATTCTGGCACATGCTATAACATGGATGAACCTTTAGATTATGCTAAGTGAAATAAGTTAGACACAAAAGGACAAATATTGTCTGATTCTGCTTATATGAATTACCTAGAGTAGGCAAATTTTTAAAGAGAAAGTAGAATGGTGGTTACTCAAGGCAGGTTGTATGTGGGGGTAATGGGGAGTTAATGTTTAATGGGTATAGAGTTTCAGTTTAGGAAGATAAGAAAAAGTTCTGAGACGGTAGTGTGGTTACATAACAATGTGAAATGTATTGAGCCACTGAGCTGTATACTTAAAAATGATTTAAGGTAAATTTTATTATATATATTTTACCATAATTAAAAAGCAAAACCACTTAAGAGATTCTAATTTGCAGTCACAGCTGAAAACCAGTGTTCCAAATTAAAATGAGAATAGGTCCAGTACAAGGGAGTATATACAGTTTCTAATAGGAGGAAGGAAAAAAATCTATAACCTGGGGTTATGTTTATAAATTAAATTCTATCATTTCACAAATATTAAAGCTGTCTCTATTCTTTTCTCTAGAGAAAACATGTCATCTTTTCATATTGGTCCTCTTCAAAATCACAGTAACATTTACATTCTTTCCACAATAACTTTATAATAGGATCTTCTAAGTAACAGACTCAAGACTTTAAGTTTTATGGGCTAAGATAAATGCTTTACCCAGTTATTGCATTTATTCCTCAAAACCACCACTAGAAAGCTAGTAAGTGGAAGGGCTGAGACTAAACTCCAGTCTGTCTGACTCGTCATATGTTTTTTTTAGCCTATTACCTGAACAGTACCCACATATTCCCAGTTCCATGTCATTGATATTCTTGCCACCTTCATTCACTTCAATGCTTATGATCAAATCTTTAAAGCCCAGTTTACATGCTCTGTCTTCCAGGGCCTTTCCTGATGTTATCTACCAGAAAGCAAGAGTATTTAGTCTCTACATTTCTTATGAGAAGATTGCAATATTTTTATTATGAATGCACCTATCTTGTAATCCCTAGGAAGATGCTGAACTAGCGTGACTGCTGACTCCCATAAGGATAGCTCTAGAGACATCAGAGGGAAAGCACTAAACAAAAGAAATTTATGGAGACCTGGGATGGTTTGAATGTGACTATACGTGTGGAATGAAGGGTAGGGTCTCTGGGAAGATAAAACAGGAAGAAGGAAAACAAGAAATGTGAAACTCTGCTCCCCCCTGTCCGTGACCTTTGCCTTGTATAAACAATGCATGCTGCCTCACTTGCAGATACTGAGAACTCTGGTCTATGTTCAGGAGCTAAAGTTGCGGCAGTCTAAAAAAGAAATTCTGCTGTGAAAAGCTGAGAGAAACAGGTGGGAACTAACCCTGGCAGCTGCTTTCTCGCCCCTCCCTCTCTGAACCCCTGGAGCTGATGAATTACACTCTAAGATTAAAGAGAACAGTCTTTAAATGCTGCTTTTCCCCAGCCCCTCCCCAAAGGTGGGGAGACATATGTCTTGAGACGATATTTTGTGATAAGTGCAGTCTTGTGGCGCCTGGGTTAGCAACCGTAGTTTACCAACCTTCATCCCTTGAAGTTATCACTGGGGCTGACACAGGCTTCGCCACTGATTCTCAACCCAGACTACACATTACAATGACCCAGGGAGCTTGAAAAAAAATGGTTAGATCAATTTCTGGGTGGGGCTAGTACAGTCACAGTTTCTGTACAAGTGTCCCCAATGATTCTAAAGTGCAGCCAGTCTGACACTCAGTGGATTCTGGCCTGTCATTTATCTTTCTGCATTACTTGAGAATAGCTACTAGCCAGTAATATAAGACATTTGAGGATCACAAGTATTTCATGGAAGAACAAAATGGATTATAAATTATATCAAAGGCAGAAAGGATAAAACATTAAGAATTTAAACTTCTAATAATATTAGAATGCAAAGGAAGAAAGCAAAAAAATGCAGAAAGAATAAGTGTAAAGAATAGTTGAACTAAAAAACACAACAGATGGAATACGATAACAGAAAGTATATACCTGAGGAATGAACTAGATAGGAGACCAAATTGAGATAATCTCTCAGAAGGAAAAAGCAGGCAAAACTCCAGAAAATACAGTTATGGAAGACTAACATCCACATAATAGATGTCCCAGAAAAAGGAAAAAAGATGGTAAAGAGAACATAGTTGAACAAATAATGGAGATAATTTCTCCAGAATAAGATGGAAAAAGCTCAGAGTGACAGGATCAGTTCTCAGAGTATCAAATAGGAGAGCAAGGAAAAACCTACACCTAGCAACACTGTACTAAAATTTATAATATGAAATACAAAAGATTTTCAACAGAATGCTTAGTATAAAGCAGTACATAATGGTGCTTATAAAAAAATCAAGAAAAGCATGAAATAAAGACATCATCGGATATGTATGAGGCAGTTATTATATCAGAGCAAATTCTGCTAGGGAAAAAAATAACATGGCTAAAATAAATGTATATGGTAAAAAAGGAATAAGAACATTTTCATGTTAGTCAAGTGTCTTATATCT